GTTCCCGCTTGTTGATTCCACATGTGGGTCCTACATTGAACCCACATTTTGGTTTTTGATCTTAAAATGGGCCCAACTTGTTCTATATATAGATATAATAGATCCTACCTATTAATTAATCAAACGTTGTTAAAATCAAAGCAAGGGAAAAATTTTACTTGGTTTTGCAACTTAACTTCAAGACAAGGTAAAATCGTAACCCATTGACACGTCAACCATTAAGAATTTAAAATAAAAGGAAATTGTCCAAAATCCATCATCATTTTTATGAATTCTCTTAAATTCATTATAACTTTTTAAAATGTCCAAAACTCACTATTATAATTTTTATTTTCCAAAGCCCACTTTCCATTAGTGCACCATTAATGTTTCTTAACATAAATGGCCATGTCAACATAAATAATACTTTTCATGACCAAATTATCCTTAAATGGTGAATTAGGGGAAAATGGTCATTTAGGTTAGGGTTAGATCGTAACTCTCTCTCTCTCTCTCTCTATCTATCTATCTATCTCTTTTGCTCAAATCTGGCAGTCACACCACCTTCTCTCGTTCAAATCTTGAAGGTAATCACTGCATCATCCTCTCTCTCACTCAAATCTGGTCGCCGCACCACCTTCTCACGCTCAGATCTTGAAGGTAGTCATTACATCACCCTCTCTCTTGCTTAGATCTGGCCGCCACACCACCTTCTCTCACTCAAATCTTGAAGCTAATCACTGTATCACCCTCTCTCTTTCTCAAATCTTGTCGCCGCCGTAGCACCTTCTCTCTCGCTCAGATCTTGAAAAAGACGATCTACTAGTTTAAAGATTTGAAAGAAGGCGAACATAAATTTCAAAGAACTTTGATGTTTTGAAACATTTGCAATGTATTCTTTTGTTTATTTTTTTTTAAATTTATCATTTTATTAGTTTGTTTGTAATTTTTTATTTTTCTAAAATATATAATTTAAAAAAAATTATTTTTGCTTTTTTAGTTGATATTTTTACATTTTTTTCATTTTATGTATTTTTGTGTAGGCTTTTTATTATCTGTTTGAAAATTTGATCACTTTCTTGTGTTTTTTTACAATTTTTTACTTTTAATATAATATATAATATTTTTATTTTTATCATTTTATGTATATTTTCAGTTTCTATTTTTATCTTATCTTTATATTTTTCAAGTTTTTTTTGTCTTTTTAGTTTTCAATTTTCTTGTTTTTTTCTTTTTTTTTTTGCATTTTTAGTGTTTTGTTACAATTTCCAATTTTTTTTAATTTATATTTTTTACAGTTTTCTATTTTCTACAATCTAAAATTTTCTGTATTTTTTTTATTTATTTGCAATTTTTATGTTTTTCTATAATTTTAGGTGTTTTTCTATAATTTTTATTTTCTGATTATGTTTTCAATTTCTATAGTTTTTTTTTTGTAATTTTTGTGTTTTTATGTATTTTATATTTGAAAATAATTTTGAACTTTTCTTTTTTTCATTTTTTTTATAATTAAGATATTAAAATATATAGATATATATTCAACCAACCAAGTTGTTAGTGGCTAACAAGCATGTAGCCCACTCACACGACAATAGCAAAGGTGAGTCAACCATGGGGAGTAGGCAAATTTTGTCATTGGCTAGAACATGATATCCGGTGAAAACAGTGAAGATAAATAGATAATTAGTGGCATTCTAAATTCACTGTCCTAGCTTAGTGAGGTTCCATTTTTCTTTCAATTGATTACCTTTTGGGGGTGTTATTTTTTCTGGATTTTGAGAGGGGGAAAGTTTGTCAATGGGTTTTTGATTCCCATTGACCAAGAATCTCATGTTCTTTTTTCAGATTTATGTGAGGAGTAGGGAAAGTTTATTTTCTTGGGTATCACTTACCCGGGCAAGTGATACCCATCTCCTAGGTGAGTAAATAACTTTCCCACCTAGGGAAAAATTGGCAACACTTGAATGGGACAAAAATACCCCTTTTAATAATAGATTTTTATGGTTAACATGGTCATTACCTTATTTACATGGGAAATAAAAGAATATGGGTAAATGCACTTACATGGGTAAGTCTTTGTTGGGAGACACTTACCCGAGTAAGTACATTTACCTGGGTAAATAATTTATCGAAAAGAGAACGAGGCCTTTATGTCAAAAGCTTAATAGTTGTAGTAGAATATAATTCTAAGCTACTATCATTACCCACACCCATCTGTCTCCGGTGTGTGTTTAGTCTTAAATAGTAAAGATGGGTAGTTGACAATTTCTTTTATTTTGATAGATAAATTAATCAAATAATAAAGTATTTTAGATTATACTATGATACCCAACTTCAGCTTCAACCATTAAGTCCAAACATCCTTAAAATCATATTTGTTAAGGTTGTGTTTGGCTGCAGTGCAAATTTATTTGCACCAGTATAAATGCATAGGTGTGAAAATGAAAAAAAATGCAATTTCTCATTTAATTTTGTTTTGGGTTTTATTTTATTCTGCTCCATGTCTTAATTTGCTTCATTTGTATTGTAACAAAACAAAATAAATTAAAATTTGAGACAAAAATATGTTAGAATTTACACTCAAATCATTTGCATTGCCATAGTTTTGCAGCAGTGCAAATTTATTTGCATTGCAACCAAACACAGCCTAAAAGACAAAGCAACAACAGCATGTCATCATCATTATTATAGTAGTGGTGGTGGTAGTAGAACCCTATAGGCTATAGCAATGTTGAGAGCTTTGTTCAAGTTTTTGTAAGGTAATTAGGGCCATGTTTGGTTCATTGCTCTAGGCCTCATTCTCTTAATTCTTGCTCATTCTATGCAAGAATGGGCAAGAATGGGCAAGAATGAATAACATTAGAGTGTTTGGTTATAAAATTCTTACCAACGGCCACATTCTTTTTAGAATGAAAAATCAACCCTATAGCACAAAAATTGACTAGCCTGCAGCATGAAAAATAATCATGCCCCATCTTGCTCATTTCATTCTTTGAGGAAACTCTACCTATAAAACTGTTGCCATAGATGTTTACTTTTGCGAAAGCACTTTTACAAAAGCATTTTTATGGAAGTACTTTTACAAAAATATTTTTATGAAAGTACTTTTTATAAAAGCACTTTTACGGAAGTACTTTTATGAAAGCACTTTTATGGAAGTACTTTTTAGGAAAGCACTTTTACGAAAGTACTTTTATAAAAACACTTTTATGGAAGTACTTTTACAAAAGCACTTTTACGGAAGCACTTTATAAAGTACTTTACTAAAGCACTTTATGAAAGTACTTTTATAAAAGCACTTTTATGAAAGTACTTTTATGAAAAACACTTTTACGAAAGTAGTTTTATATAAGCAGTTTGTACTTTTAAAAAACACTTTTATAAAAGCATTTTTATGAAAGAACTTTTACGAAAACACTTTTATAAAAGCACTTTTACGAAAGTACTTTTATGAAATTACTTTATGAAAGCACCTTTATGAAAGTACTTTTTATGAAATCACTTTTATGGAAGTACTTTTACAAAAGCACTTTTAAGAAATTACTTTTATAAAAGAACTTTTATGAAAGTACTTTTATAAAAGCACTTTTACGAAATTACTTTTACAAAAGAATTTTTATGAAAGTATTTTTACAAAACATCTATGCCAATTGGTAAACATTGATTATTGGAGACCTAGGTTGGCGGTTTGTGAATACCGATACAAATTTTTTTTTTTTGAAGAATGAAAATGAACAACATAGGACACTTGTCAGTCTGAAAAGAATTCATTTTTATTCTGTCTATTTTTATCCATTATTTTCCATTTTATAATTTCATCTTACGTAATAATGAAAAAGAATGAGAATTGAACCCAACATGGTCCTTAGGTAAATGATATAGTCTCTTTTTTCTTTTTCCTAGTCTCTCTCTCTCTCCATTGTGTGCAATCCTAATGGCATTATTTGTCTCATTCTTGTCCCATCTTTGTTCTATGCAAGGTGCACTGGATTTCTTAAATCTCTTCAAGGTTTTCTTCAATGCCCGGACTCACCAAATGGAACAGTTTACGACTACAAGGTTTCATATCCTCCTAAAAAAATCATTGGGAAGGTTTTCTTGCAGGTATTCACCGAATTTAATAGCTGGAACGGAAAGTGAGGCCAACATGTTAGTGGGTACTTCAAGTGAAATAAAAGCTGGAACAGAAACCTTATATTTTGTATAAATACAAATATATAGAGTGCAAAGTCTTATATTTTATATGTATTTGCATTATATATATTTGTATTTGTATTCTTTCCAAACTGAGGAAACAGTATAAATACAAATATGTAGAGTTATACTTCTTGATGCTAACCAGTCTGTGGTTTGCTTCCGTTTTCTGTGTATTTGCAAATTGCAATGTGATTTTATGGAAGTTGTTTTGATCATTTATTAATTAATTAGACGGTGAAAGGGAAAATCTATGATGTGGGAAAGCTATCATACTGCTCCAAATCTGTTTCTAGTGTCAGGTTGGGTCTACTACCCACGAATTCACATCTGTGCCGCATAGCATATCAACCGTGTATTGAAATTTGGAAACATCTCCCACCGTCAACTTTAAGAGATATTCCCATCCCACCGTTAACTTCAAAAGATATTTCCAATACACATTTAGATGTGCATGCAGGGCGCAGATTTGATCTCCACCAATTATTCCCATATCCCTGCCGTATTGTCACGGGACTAGTCGTTGGGCCCCATGCAGCACTCGAATGAAATGAGTCACTTGTGATAATATGGGATAATATTTAAAAATTATGATGATTTCTTAAAAATTTTTTACCAATCAACTCATACAATGTCTTTCCTGCATCATAGGTTTTCCCTTTTGTTCCCACATCATAGATTTTTTACCAATCAACTGATATCGTCCGTTGTCTATTTGTCTTCTTTCTATGAATATAGAAGTCCAAGCCCAAATTCCTGAATACTTCATTTAATTCTGGGCTTTTCATTGATCAGTTTGGAGGCCCATAGGCATTTTAGAAGTGGGCCCAACATAGCCACGACCCACGGGGATGTAGCAGTAGTTCACTAGTTCTTTCTTCGAGCTTCGACACCAGTCGGCGCCGAGCAATCGACGGTACGAAAACTCCGCGAAGTGTTTTATCACCGTCTCGATCTATGACTAGACGTTGATTCAGGTTTCACCGGGAATAATTGACAAAACTTTGAATTCGCATCCAGGCTGTAGGTCAATTATTAGGGTTTTAGCTTTTAGGCAAGTTCAGAGCACAACAGCATCAGATTTGAGAAAAATGGGGAGACCAAAGGGAGAAGGAGCGAGAAGCAAGACCCGTCCTTCGAGCAGCAGGTGTTTTTCCATAGTATTCTTATTATTTCTTATTCAAAAGTCTACTTTTCTTCTTACTACATTCGGTGCTTTATGTTTGTTAATGTTAAACTTCATAAATACAATTCAATATTTCGATTTTGTGTTCTTTCCCAGCCTAGCTGCATCTTTGTTGCCTGCGGGAACTGCTACCGTAGGATTCGGAGGTTATGTCGGAAGTTCTCGGCTCGAATCGTCTCTCCCGGGCGACGATGCGTTTCCTTTTTCGGTAACTTTTCTTTATTTTATTTCATATATGCTTTCTATGTAACTCATATAGATTTCATTGGTAATTATAAATAATTTGAGAACATCAGAATGGTTTTGTCAAGTCACTTGAATTTCTCAGTTCTAGTACTCTACGACTAAATGAGCTCAATGAATTGATATTTCTCCATTGAGTCGATAAATTAACATTGAAGGCGTGTTAACTAGGACCAGGATCAGAACCTTGGCACTTTTTGAATCGTAGGGATAAATGGGAAATTGCATCCTTTGTACACGACTTGTTTATTTGTTCTCTTTTTAGTTTATTTAATGTGTAAAACTTTCGGTATGTAGGATGTGGATAGTGAAATAGCACAGCATTTAAAGAGGCTTGGCAGGAAGGATCCTATAACAAAGGTAGCTCTCTGGAACTTCTCATAACAATCTTTTAGCTCAAAAAAACAAAACCTGAAGTCCTAATTTCTCGTGAAGCTGCCATTTTGGTCACATATTAGAAAAGAAAAGCTTAGTAAGAAATATCCACAATATCCATGTGCTACGTTTTTTATGGAAGATTTGCATGCTTTTCCATAGTTCTCAAAAACATATCGTTCAATATGGTACTGTTAAAAAAAACAAAAATACATATTTTTTTGAGTAATGTAAAAATACATATATGATAATATGATATACATATCACACATGTAACATATACTCATAGGATCACCAGTCATGTACTTAGAGGAACTGGATTCCTCCAAATCTTTGCAACTCCAGGAGTAGATTCAGCATGCTCATTATTTTGTTGCAAAGGGATCTGATTGAAAATGTACATCTTAAATCTTAAATGCTGATTAAAGTGTTAAAAGAATATATCTTCTGAATCCTCCACCCAAATTCCTTGATGCACCATTAAGTATTTGTCCTGTGTCCAGAAAAGCACCTTGCCATGCGGATAGTTTCACGTCAATGGCATTTACCATGGCAATTGAAGTGATCTTAGGTAGAATTGGTGGTTGGCACTACTACTTATTGGATATTATTGTGGAACAGTGGAAGTTCTGTTTCACTTTTCATTAAATCATTCACTGATTCACAATATTTATCCATATGAATAATCATTTGCAATCTCAGACCAATGTACATGGTGGTGATTCACTGTTTCACCATTTGCATTACACAATACACGAGAAGGGCCCAAACCGTGCCTCTTTTCCAGTGCATGCCACAGATTTTGATCTTCATTGTATGATCTCCCACCAAGAGGACTTTTTTTTTTAGAGAGAGTGGAGCTTTTAACTAAAATATCTCTATTCCTAAGTTTGTATTGGGCAGGATTCTTGAGAAATAATGTAAATCTAATGAGGTCTCCAACTTTTCTATTGATAATATCAATGGAAGCTGGTTAATATATGCTTCTTTCTCCTCTTTGGCCAATCAACAGCACCAATGCAATTTGGAAACCCCCACCAGCAAACATTAAAATGAATTTTGATGATGGCTTCAGCCTTTGAAACCCAGGACCATCAGGTTTTGGTAGAGTATTTAGAAACAATGTGGAAGATGTGATACTTGCTTATGAGTTACTGGCAGTTAATGCAAGGGTAGTAACTAGCAAACCCAGCAAGTTTTTCAGGCTTTGTAATTGAAGGAGACATAAGATCAATCATAAGCTGGATAAGAGGTGAAGCAGATGGTCCTTGGATTCTAGGGAACATGGTCAGGGAGGCTAGGCATCTAAACCAAATACAAGCAGAATTTCTTTGGGTTGTCAAAATCTGCAAATTCCTTGGCAGATTCCCTAGCTTTTGAAGGGGTGTGTAGAGAACTGCTGTATCAGGGGAGAATATTCCTTGGGTTAAAATTGAACTGATCGAGGGGCTCTCGATGGAGCAGGGGATTGGAAACATGTTGTGCTAATATTTGTGTCTATTTTATTTACAGAAACATGTACGCCTTGTACTTATGGCATAAATTTCTATTTTCTCAATACATTTTTACTTTTCTGATAAAAGATCCACCAATGGTAGCTTAGTATTACATTGCTAGTCCCAATATTTGGTCAAGGAAGAAGGTTGTATCAAGTTGTCAGCCGACAGAATTTTTTTTTTTATCAGTAGAAGAAATTATTTTATTAGAATTAAAGAAAGCTGTTGCAGTACAATGTGATGACAGGGATGTCATCCCCAAGAGCTCTTCAAGTTACAGTTACAAAGAAATCCCAAAAAGGCTAATGAGTTCCCAGCAACCCAAAATACATCAGATTACAATTTTGCCCAAAACAAGCCAGCTCTATCAGCTCCTTGCTTTGCCAATATATCTGCCATTCCATTTGCAGTCCTTATCCACCCAAAAGTGAAATTGAATCTCTTTGCCAAGGTGTTGATCTCCCTAAAAAGCATGTCTGTATTTCCATATGAATTCTGAATTGTTTTGTGCAATGCTAAGGTGTTCTTTAGAAGGACGATATGCAAGGATTTTCAACTTGTTTTGGGGTCCAGGTAGAGGGTAAGATTTTAAGGTTTACAGGTTGGAGTGTGAAGGTCTGAAGAAATTAGAAGGACAACAGGCAGGGGCTTAAACAGGTGTTACAGTTCAGGCAGTTTCTTCATGGGAAACAATTCAACATGTACCTGAAGGATGAACTTTCAAGGGTGGTGTAGTGAGGAGTGGTTGGAACCGGAGGTTTTTCAGGAGGTGTTGTTTTAAATCCTTTGAGGTGCTGGTGGCTTTGATTGGACATTGCGTCTCTGATTGGATTCTAGCATCCTCAGAGTTTGAATAGAGTTGATGTCCAGTTTTGGGGAAGCCTTGGTGGATTGTGTTCGTTCTGCAGATTTGTATTCGGTATTCTGCTTGTTATTTTTTTTTATCAGTAACAGCAGAATTTATTAGTAATAAGGAACTTTAATTACAAGAGAGGGGGAGGTAAACTTTCTTAGCTCCCCCATTTGAGCAAAAACAAAAATACAAGATTATAAATGAGCCCAAAAGAGAGATCCCCATTCACCCCTTGCTTGGCTAACCCATTAGCAAGTGATTTAGCAGTTCTCTTTACCCAACTGAATTTCACCTCAATGTCCCTAGTCAGCCATCTCACCACTACCTCTGAGTCACCTTCAAAAACCACTTTTCTTAAGTTCAGCTCCCTTGCTCTTTGGGCACCTTCCAGAGCCGCAAGGATCTCAGCCCTAAGAGAGTCTCCTTCTCCAATAGGGCCTGAGAACATGGCTATAATAAGCCCCTCTTCATTCCTGAATGCTCCCCCTATACCAGAGAGCCCTGGGTTCCTTAAACTACTTCCATCAAAATTCAGCTTCATGAATCCAGGTGGGGGAGAGGTCCAAGAGGGAGAAGAAACTGTATTAAACTGGGCAGAATTAGCTATCTCTAACCAATTCCTCATCAAGTCATCCAAGGAAAAAACTGTGAATAGGTTATTGATAAAAAAAAAACTGTGAATAGGTTCAGAGATTTCAGCCAGTGAGTCACCCTTAAATGTATCCACTCCATTACATTCTCAATGGTCATTTCCATTTCTGAGAAAGTACGTGAGTTTCTTTCTTCCCAGATAGACCAGTAGACTTCAACCCTCATACATCTCCACATAATTCTCCCTGATTTTAAAGGCCAACTAAAGTAAGAAGGAGAGAAGAGGCTTTGCACATTCAAGGGAGGGGTTCGACTGCAACCAAAAAGGGAGAAAACCCATTCCCAAATAGTTCTAGCAAACAAGCAAGAAATCAATAGGTGGTAACCGGTTTTCCCTTCAACTTTACAAAGAATACGCCTATGTGGGGATAAACAAGAATTGGGTTTCTTTCTTTGAAGCAGGTCACTTGTGTTAATTCTTTCTAGGAATGCTTCCCAACAAAAACTACCAACCTGAGGAGGAATGGGTTTGCTCCAAACCTCTTTAACAGGGAAAGAGAAACCACTAGAGGTAGAAGGCTGAGATAATGTCTCAAAGAAGGAAGCACAAGAGAAAGTACTAGAGGAGGATGGGGTACAAATTTTGATATCTTCCTGAGAGGGGTCCAAGAAAACATTCTCAAGAATGGTTAACATGTTCAAAGTTCTCCAAAGGTCTGTCTCTTTAATGGCCCTTCTCAGGCCCAGGTTCCACCCAAACCCAGAAGAGGAATCAGAAGGCACAAGAAAAGAAGAGATGGGTTCATTCTTCAAGTTAGATAGGGCATACAAAGAAGGAAATTGGTCCATCAAAGGGGAATCCCCAACCCAAGTTTGCTCCCAAAACTTTATAAGATTGCCGGAATTCACATCATACCTGATCCACAGGGAGAAGATTGGAAGAAGATCATGGATGACTTTCGAAGGAGAAGCATCTGTAAGCTATAGTCCTTGCCAGAATTCCAAGGTCCTAGCCATTGTCCTCCAACCCATGAATGCTAGCCACTATCTTTGTCCACAATTTTTCCTTTTCCAACGGAAATCTCCATAGCCACTTTACTAGTAAAGCCATATTCCTTTTCTTGATATTCCCAATCCCATGACCACCTAGCTTCTTACATCTACTTACCACCTCCCACCCTACTCTATGGTCCCTCTTCTCCTCTCCTGGCTCCCACAAAAAGTCTCTCATTAGCTTTTCCAGTTTATTAGAGACTTTTGTGGGTATCTTAAAAACTGATAGGAAATACACAGGTAGGTTAGTTAGGGTAGATCTAATCAAAGTGATTCCCCCCCCAAGGAGAGATAATTTCTCCTCTAAGAAGCTAGTCTTTTCTCAAATCTTTCCACCACCGGGTTCCAAAAACTTTCATTCTTGGGATTATCTCCTAGGGGGAGACCTAAGTAATTCATAGGCCACTTTGAAATTGCATAACCTAACAGGTCTGCATATTCACTTAATTCCCTTTCTTCCATGTTCACCCCTACTATACAACTCTTATCAAAGTTCACTTTAAGATTGGGCATTTGCTCAAAGAGTTGTATTGTCAATTTCATGTTTGTTTTTGATAGATAATGATAATGAAAATTTTATTAATTAAAGAACTAAGTATACATTATGCAATTCCCCACTAAGAGGTGCGAGGTGCAGCCTCCAAATTACATCATAAAGCTTATAATTGAGCCCAAAAAAGATGATTCCTATGTACTCCTTGTTTAGCTAGGAGGTCTACCAGCCCATTTTCTGATCTTCTTTCCCATTGAACTGTGACTGAAATATTTGAAGTCAGCCACTTAAATCTTCTCAAAGCCCCCCTGTATGACCAGACTGCCGTCTCTGATTCTTTTAGCCATCCAACAACCAATTTGGAATCACCTTCAATCATTAAATGCTCCATTGCCAACTCTCTTGCATATTCTGCTCCTTGTAACACAACTTGGAGTTCTGCATTTATTGAGTCTCCCCACCCTATAGGACTAGAAAATAGAGTTACAATCTGACCCTC